TGGGGGTAAGCAGATAAACATCAAATTTTCATTTTGGGGTGAGCTATTCCTTTAACTGTGGAAAGTCACATCATCACAGTCACAGAAAACGGTCCATTCTCACACAAAACTATTGTATGGCTTCATTCAACCGTAAATATTTTTGTTTGCCTACGAAACCACCACTGGCTCTGCACCCATTTACCTAAATTCATTACTTCAGAGTTATGTGCCCTCTAGAAGCTTACGTTCAAATGAGGACATCATTTTCATATTTAGATTAACTATTCCTTTAAATATAGAGGTTCCTTTGGTGCCCACATCTTTCACACATTGGACTGCTCTCAAACCTTGGTTGAGACACTGGCCTTTAGACCTGAAGACATACTGTATGCATCTTTTAATCCTACACCCACATTGTTGCATTAAATAATGTAGCGGTGAAGGAAGTCACTGCACAACCTCCCACTATATTCTCTGTGCTTTCTCGTTTTCTCTCTAACTCTCCTCTCTGTCTTTCACAGAGGCAAATTATGCCAGCAGTACCAGAGTCGCTGTCTCTGGTGACGTGCCAGCCTGTTGGTGAGACCCTTCGCTCCAGCGCCCACCCCTGTGCCATCTCCCCTGGCAGGCCCATGCTGGTGGACGCCCCGCTCAGGCCCACGCCCGCACCATGAGCGCCAACGGCCGTGCTCCGCCTGCTGCGACTCCTGCCGCGCCCCCCGCAGCCTCCGTGCCTGTATCGTCAGTGGTACCGGTCGGCTCGCTGGCCCAGAAGAAGCGGCAGCAGTATGCCAAGAGCAAAAAACAGGGCGGTTCGGCCAACACGCGGCCGCAGAGAGCTCTCTTCTGCCTCAACCTCAACAACCCCATCCGCCGGGCCTGTATCAGCCTCGTGGAATGGAAGTATCCTTTACATTGCTTTTCAGTCAAGATTGACTAATATTAAGATGATCGGGGTGTTCAAAATGTTCTCATATTCAAGTTTAAAGGAATTTCGTCCCCCAAAATGAAGTCATCATTTACTCACCTTCCCATGTTGTCCCAAACCTGTATGACTACTTTTTTACTCTCAAAGTTGTGTATATCCTGACTTTTTACTCTCAAAGTTGTGTACATCCTGACTTTCTTTAAAATATCTAGATGCATATAGGTTTTGAACAACATAGCGGTGAGCAAAGAATTTAAATTTTTTGGTCATCTGTCCATTTAATATGTAGAGTCAACTATAAATAAGCCATTTATAGGTTGAGTCCTGTGAAAAGTGTGCATTTTGGCTTTGTGGTGCTATCAAAACATTGCTGTTTGACTAAGTCTAACCAATGAAACAGCATTGGCTTAACCAATGGTGGGAGTTGGAGGCAGGACTATCTGAAGCCTGACCAATGGAGGAAGAGGAGAGTGTTCTGGAAGCTTGTTAAAAATTGCAAAAGAGTGCTGCACTGATGTATTTTTGTAGGCCAACCAGGAAGTTAGCATTACCCTGGTTCCCTTGACAAAAACCAATACGATTTTTCCATTGGCTTTTGGGTTATGGCAGAAAATAAAAACAAAAGTTAATGATTTTAGATGTTTTGTTCACCACGATAATCTTCACAAATAAACACAACTTCTATGAATTCTGAAGCCTAAATAGAGAATTAAAAAGGTAAACGTAGGCTTTAAACAAACTACCCTATGGTGGCATGACTTCAATGTCATCACCAGTATGCTTCTGACAACTCTTTCTTGATTCTTGACTTCAAAAACATGCAAGTAAAAAAAATAAATAAATGGACTAGTGAAGATTAGTGGACTCAAATATTCTGTTTCTGAATCATGGAGAGATGGCAGCATACAGGTTTTCAGGGACAGAATGTTAATATTTGAGTGAACTGTTGTTGTGGTGGATTTCAGAATATTGTCTGTTTTAGCAGACTTGCATTCGAACATGTGGAAAGACTGGTGGCCTGCTCTTCTGGTCAGAGTTTGTTGTTTGTAAATACGCTTTGGAGTTTCTTCTGGCATTATTCCTCTAGAAAACTAGCATATGGTGTGGTTTGCTTGTGGCCTGTGCTGAAAATAGGTGAAGGTGGGATGAAGTAATTGAGCGAATCATTAAGAGAACAGGTAAACAAATGAAAGTAGTCCACCTATGCGTCTACAGCAGACATCCCAGCTCGTCATCTCCGGTAGAAGCTTGTCTGGTGGTCTTTATTAGAGCGAAGCTGTGTTCCCTGCAGTGAGGAACACCTTAATCTCAAACATAAGTCAGCGTGTATAGCTGAGCTTTGAAAAGAACATCTGTTCCCCGGCCCTACGGGGAAGATAAAGGAGCAATGGCTTCCAAGCTGTAGATTTCAGATTCATCTCTACATATATAATGTACAGTGAAACAAGCATTGCAGGTGTGAGCGTTTGTGCAGGAACATGCAAAAGCTAATATTAGCCTAGCCCTACCAGCCTTGTCTTTCCTCAAGGGAGTCATGGGAAAGTCAGAGAGAACTTCCCCTGAATGCCGCATAATCCAACATTTTAGTGTCCTAGCTCATGGCCTAATAAGAGTATTTAGCAGCATAAAATTAGAACATTGCATTGTACTGGATTTAAAAAATGCATTAAGTGAGTGCAAAAAAGGAATGTGAGACGCAACCCAGAATGTAGTGTCAAATTTATCCTTGACACACAAAATTGTGCATTTTTGTGAAACCAGAGTATAAGTTTAAATGACTGATTTTCGAATATTTAATGTAGACTGCAACATTTTCAGGTCCTCTGACTCACACCAGTATTATTTACATTTTGTACGTCTCACTAGCAGGAAAGCAGAGCGGCTGAGTCAGTGCTGTTGTAATAGACTTTTTACTGTTAAACCGCATGCAAGTAGCTACTCACTGTTATTTCCTTCTGACCCTTTTGAGCGATCACAAGATGAGATTTAGCTGTGATGAATAATAAAGATGTACAGATGAACAGGGGCCGGTGTAAGAGTTTCAGGCCAGTTGATGGAACACAGCACATGATCACAATAATTCTATAGTATGTTTTTGACTTGTAAGCTTACAAATTTGGTTTTCTGTGACGCTTTGAATAAATATTGTTTTGCTAATTCTTTTGAATTCTGCTAATTAATTCACCAAGGAAATATAGGTACTTAACTGGTCAACAAAGGTAAAGTTTTGTTAAAATTGCAAGAAATTATTGTCTTTGAAGCATTAGTTAGAATGGGTTGAAAAATAAAAACAAATCAGCAATGTTATGCCATCATTTTAATAATAAACAGGGCTTCTAAAAAACATAACCATGTTTTTCAGACCCTTAAAAAAATTAAAATTAAATGAAAACGTTAGCACCCAAGCAACAAATCTGAATTTCTGGCAGAAAAAAATCTGGAAAAACTTAAGCCTTGTTTAGTTCTGGAAACTTTTGAATAATAGGTTTGGAGTAATTCCATTTTAATCTAGCCAACTTGAGGGATGAGTTGAAATTTGATTTGTTATTCACATTTTGACCTTGCATTTAAATGTCATATTTAAATATGTACAATATATGCCAGATTTTCTCTTGTTTGATTGATTCTAGTAGCAAATTTAACTTGTAAACCTTCACAAGAATGACTGGATGTATATATTAATTGCCTCTGACTTTAATTATTAATAATTATTGATTCTCTTTGTTCTACTCCTTAACTTTCATCTCAGGCCATTTGATATCTTTATATTGATAGCGATTTTTGCCAACTGCATGGCCTTAGCTGTATACATCCCCTTTCCCGAGGATGATTCCAACTCAACCAACCACGACCTGGTGAGTAAATAACTTCAACCTCTTGACCTTTTAGCATGTTCCAGTGTGACCCCTGCCATGACCCCAAACCCCACACTCACATTAACTGTGGGTCTCAGGTCAAAGAGCGAAGGGACGTTATCTTATATCTTATATTTGACATTTTAATGGTGTGCAGGTGTCTTTATAGAGCACATTATAGAGCATTTCATAGTGAATTCTTGTGGCTAAAAGACCCCATGTGGTGAAGTTTTTTAAGCTTTGTTTACATGTCTATCTGGTGTTTTTAATATGCTTAAAGACAAACCATGTGCAGATTCATCAGCCAACACCATTGCTAAGCATTTTCTCCATAAAATCCAGTGTATCTCAAAAATGTGGTTTGAAACCTCCCATTACCTACCGTCACAAACATGTAACTGTCGGATCTTGGGGGCGGGGCTTTTTATATCATTAGCAAAGTGTTTCTGCCTAAGGATGTTTCTTTTTTACAAGGCAGCTGTCTGAGATGGTGAACAGGAATATGGTTTGTGTAACATTAGTAACACTTTATTAGCTGTTTAATACTGTAGTCAAGCCAAAAGCTAATGAAATCAATTACTATTACATGTCTGACGTTGTAGAGAGCGATACATAAAATACTTAGCATTCTGACGACCCTGCATAATTCGCTCATCCTCTTCTTCTTCAGAATCAGTTTCTGGTTCAAGCATACAGGTGCATCTCAATAAATTAGAATGTCGTGGAAAAGTTCATTTATTTCAGTAATTCAACTCAAATTGTGAAACTCGTGTATTAAATAAATTCAATGCACACAGACTGAAGTAGTTTAAGTCTTTGGTTCTTTTAATTGTGATGATTTTGGCTCACATTTAACAAAAACCCACCAACTCACTATCTCAACAAATTAGAATACTCCATAAGACCAATAAAAAAAAACATTTTTAATGAATTGTTGGCCTTCTGGAAAGTATGTTAATTTACTGTACATGTACTCAATACTTGGCAGGGGCTCCTTTTGCTTTAATTACTGCCCCAATTCGGCGTGGCATGGAGGTGATCAGTTTGTGGCACTACTGAGGTGGTATGGAAGCCCAGGTTTCTTTGACAGTGGCCTTCAGCTCATCTGCATTTTTTGGTCTCTTGTTCCTCATTTTCCTCTTGACAATACCCCATAGATTCTCTATGGGGTTCAGGTCTGGTGAGTTTGCTGGCCAGTCAAGCACACCAACACCATGGTCATTTAACCAACTTTTGGTGCTTTTGGCAGTGTGAGCAGGTGCCAAATCCTGCTGGAAAATGAAATCAGCATCTTCAAAAAGCTGGTCAGCAGAAGGAAGCATGAAGTGCTCCAAAATTTATTGGTAAACGGGTGCAGTGACGTTGGTTTTCAAAAAACACAATGGACCAACACCAGCAGATGACATTGCACCCCAAATCATCACAGACTGTGGAAACTTAACACTGGACTTCAAGCAACTTGGGCTATGAGCTTCTCCACCCTTCCTCCAGACTCTAAGACCTTGGTTTCCAAATGAAATACAAAACTTGCTCTCATCTGAAAAGAGGACTTTGGACCACTGGGCAACAGTCCAGTTCTTCTTCTCCTTAGCCCAGGTAAGACGCCTCTGACGTTGTCTGTGGTTCAGGAGTGGCTTAACAAGAGGAATACGACAACTGTAGCCAAATTCCTTGACACGTCTGTGTGTGGTGGCTCTTGATGCCTTGACCCCAGCCTCAGTCCAGCCAAAATCATCACAATTAAAAGAACCAAAGACTTAAACTACTTCAGTCTGTGTGCATTGAATTTATTTAATACACGAGTTTCACAATTTGAGTTGAATTACTGAAATAAATGAACTTTTCCACGACATTCAAATTTATTGAGATGCACCTGTATATGGCTGGATTAATCTAATATTGCCACTTGCTGTTATGTAGCTTGTACTACTTCAGTTAACCAAGTGAAAGTGGAGCAGGTCCGAGCTGGTATGATTGAGTGGAGGCGGAGACTAATTAGTATGTTCATGCATTTTGCATATACTTAATGGTAAAGGTATAAAGTTATATTCAAGCCTAATTAAGGCATGAAGAAATCATTTTCACTGGAAAAAACGTTTGAATATATAATTTTGATGATCAAACAAGGGTTTTAACCAATAAAGAATTAAAGAATATACATTATTATTTTTTCAAAAGAGGACTTTTTTTGACAAGAATTTGCTTAAAATAGAACAAATAATATTAGGAAATCAGGCCTGATTTTAGTTGTTTCATATTTTTTTTTCCTTTGAGAACAGACAAATGAAAGACACACAAAGCCACGGCATTGTATATTCCTGGAAGGACATAGAGGAAAATCTGTCACATTATAATCTCAATGATCTTTTCTGAGAGCAGATGCATGCTCAGCTCAGACATTTTCTTTGCAAACTTGCTTCGCTTCCTTTCTGCAAACTGCTTCGCTTGTACAGTTCAATTGATCTGATTTTGAACCCTTCAGATAAATGATTTATATTTAGCCAAGCGGAGCATTTGGATCGGGTTCGGAGGGGACGGATGTTCTTCTCCATGCTTTGGACAGAGAGGATGATTGTGAGTTGAGATAAGACAGCTGTTCGATCTTGTGGCAGAGTGCGGCTCAGCACGAGGGCTTCGTGATTTGTGAATAGCGCTCATGGCTACTGGCGTGGTTTAATTTCGTGATTTCAGCAACAGGAAAGAGAAACAGCAGGCTGAGATGTTGCTTCCTGGGTTTTTTTCCCCCAAGCATTTTGCGGCTATGTGTTTTAAATTTTTTGGCTGTAAGACTTTGTGTTGGAAGTTTCTTGAAATGTTCAAACTGGACCAGTAATATTTCTGATTGGCTTTTCATGTGCTTTTTCGTTTGAGGTCTTACAGATGTGAGCATGTGACCAGATTACCGTAAACCTGACGAGCAGGGCAATGTTCTTTCAATGCACATGTGCGACAACAATAGGCTATACATCCAACAATCAACATTATCAGTTGTTTTCCTCTTGCTTGATTCTTTTTTTTTATGTGTCGGCTGTGCTATCTCATCCGTCTGCACTCCCAAGTGTGTGTTAAACAGCAGGAGGTAATCGCACAGCACAATTTCATCAGAATCCCAGCAGGTATGATAACATACATACCAGGTTGTCTCACACAGATGAGCAGAGGTCATGCTGGGGAGCCTATAGATACATTAGACAGTCAGAGATGTTACAGCAGCCCATATAACTGCTAGGGATGTATCGATGCACCCCGAGCCGGTTGAAAATCGATACAAATATGGGACGATTTAAATCGGTTGAGATGTTAAATGAATCGCGATACAGTTGTGGGTGGGAGTTTATATGAATGTATCTCTGAGGGGAACTGTCTTCAGAAAAGTTTAGATGGTAGTTTGTTTTCATCTTGCCTCTGTATATTGCATATTAAAGTAGTAGCGCTGCTTTGTTTACAGTGGTAATCAAAACACTGTAGCTGCTGTTTCGTAAGCGCCATCTACTGTCAGAGAGAGAATTTGCATCTCATTCAGCTCATCTGCTGTTTCTGTTTCGTGCAGATATGTTTTATGTAGTATAGTTTCACAAAGCTAAAGTCAGACCATTCTGTTTTTTCTTCAAATTTCGAAATTATTCAATCTAATTTAGAAACTGCTCATGCTCCATGTATGCAGCATCTTTGTTTGGACCGTGATTAAAATGCAGTGGTCGCCTCTAATTTTAAATGAAAAGAGCACAGGCAAAGCCTTAGTTTGTTTATATGGAGAGATTTATTTTATTTGTGTTTTATTTATTTATTTGATTTGGGGTTTGTTTTCAAATTGAAATTTCGTTATGTTATTCTACATATTTCAATTTCACAAAGAAATGTGCAGCATTTTGTTTAAGCAATAATAAAAGGACAACTTTTCATTTATAATTTGTCTTAAATCTCATTTTGTAAAAAAAAGAAAAAGTGAGAAAATTGTATCGTGAGATCAGTATTGTGAATTGTATCGCATTGTGAGTTGAGTGAATCATTACATCCCTTTAAACTGCTTTTATATTGCTATGTTGCTGTTTAAAGCATCACTATATTAGTATTGCTCACGCTTAAAGGGTTAGTTCACCCAAAAATGAAAATTAGCCCATAAATTACTCAACCTCAAGTCATCCTAGGTGTATATGACTTTCTTCTTTCAGACGAATCCAGTCGGAGTTATTTAAAAAATTGTCTTTGATCTTTCAAGCTGTTTAAGACGGACTGCAAGCTTTAAATGCTTATATCTTCTAAATGCGAATTTTGTCACTTTTTTTGTAACACACTGCCTTATAGATAACCTTAAGACTAACATTGATACTAACACCCAAAAAACTTTAATTTTGATTTCATGGGGACTTTAAACTGTTTTAACTTTGCATGGCTTTCTATACATCTCTTGTGTGATGCGAGTGCAGCACTCCTATTTGTCCGTCTAGAAAATGCGCTGAATATACATCTGTGTGAATGGCTTGGTTTCGGTTTTAACCTAATCAAGATCTTCTACGCATTGAGCTACTAT